TGATGAAACATAATTTTTCTATTCGTTTAGGCCAATAGGTAAAGTAACGTGTTGAATTAGACAACCCTGATTCCGGATAATGAGCTGAAAATAGAAAACTATTAATACCGCGGGTACGCGTCTTCTTTAACGCTTTCGAAGCATGACTCAATGCATTTTGTGAATTGTCACAAAAAGAAACATTACATGATTGTCGTTAAATGAACGACATTCCACACAATTCGATTTTTCCATAAAGAAAAAGATAAAGGAAGAGAAGAGGAAAAAAAAAACAGAGAGAGAGAGAGAAATAGAAAAGATAAGATTTTTCCTCGGTAAAAAAGACTTGACTATATAACGTTCAAGAACTAGTTGGTTTTTTTTTCTTTTTTTTTTTTTACTATTGATATTTTTAGAATATTCGCATATGCATTTTTTTTTTTTTTTATATTTTTAAAACGTCGATAATAGATTTGTTTCTATTCTCTGTTGTTTTTCTTCCATTTTTTTTTTTTGTCATAATTAATATTACGCAATTAGTTGTCGCCGTTATTTATAATTAATTAACATTGAAATTTTGAAAATTTATGAATTAACCTTTTTAATCTCGTACGCATTAATAAAAGATTTACGTGTTTTCATTTTTCTTTATCTTCTTCGAAAATAGATATAAAAATAAAAATTGAAAAAAATTGTTCCATGAAATTTTTATACTCGTAAATACGAACAGATCGATGCAAATTTTATATTTATATAAATACAAAAATACCAATAGTAATCGAAAGTTACAATGACATATACATTGTCTTTTTAGGATCAATATCAGAATGAATATTTTTGTCTCTTTCATAAAATCTAACACGATAGCAATCTAGAAAATCATTAGAAATCAATTCCCCGAATTATTTTCCTTTCTATCTTTTAAAAACAATGAAAACCAAAATGATGATACTATATCACGTGGCGTAGAGAATAATTAGAAAAAAAATAAGTAAATAAGTAAATAAATAAAAATAAAATAAAAAAATAAAAATAAAAGTAAAAATGAAAAACATAAAAAAAAAAAAAAAAAAAAAAAGAAATAACAGGAAATAAATCTAAAGGATAAAAGCGTAAATAATCATGGAGACGTCAAATTCGATAATAAATCAAAACCAACGATAAATCGATCTTATTGTACTAAACAATTCTGTTTATGAAAAAAAAAAATAAAAAGTAAACAATTCTGTTTATGAAAAAAAAAATAAAAAGAAGAAAAAAAAAAAGAAAAAAGAAAAAAAGAAAAGAAAAAGAAAAGACGGTTTTACAAAAAATACAATAAATTCAAATAAAATAAAAATAGAACGTGGAAGAAAGAATACAAAATACAAAAAATACATTTGTAGGATTAACTTTAAAAGAGGACTAAAAAAGAAATTGAAAAAGGAATGGAGAAAAAGTTTTTGATTCTAAACAATAAATTTTTCAATCCACTATATATTCCACTAGTCTCGTAGTACAGCCTTCGAAAATCAAAAAATCGGGAAGGTATCCGAATAAGAGCGAAGGGAGAGAAGAGAATGGGTGGATGGGTGGGTAGAGGATAGGACCAAAAAAAAGAGAAAGAGAAAGAGAAAAAGAAAGAGAAAGAGAGAGAGAGAGAGAGAGAGAGAGAGAGAGAAAGAGAGAGAAGGAAAAAAGAAAAAAGGAGAAATCAAAAATAAAAGGGAAAAAAAGTGAACCCTGTGAAGGGATTCTTTTTTTTTTCTTTCTTCCTTTTTTTTTTTTTTTTTTTTTTTGGAATGCATTGTTCTCGTTCGATGAACCCGTGTAAACGAAAATGTAAAAAGAAGGAAAGAAAAAAGAGAAGAAATGAAAAAAAAAAGGAAAAAAAAGAAGAGAAGAAGAAAAAACGAGGTTAGAAGGGAACGCTCTACGAATTCAACAAATTTTTTTATTTTCTTTTTTCTTTTTTCTTTCTTTTCTTTTTTTTTTTTATCAAGAATAATACAGACCTGCGTGTTCCAAGTTGAATACACAAATATACAGGGTGTACCGATTTCAATAATAGATTTCCAATTTCCATTTAATTCGAATCACATTTCTGTGTGCGTCTGCGCTTGTGGCGCGTACATTTTCATACAATTAAATTAAAATCATCATTTATCGTTGCAAAATCATTTACTCGAAGACCAACGAAATGTTTCAAACTGATAAACAATAATTAAACAATATACAATGATTAAACAATTAATATAAACGTAAAATTGTTAAATTTTAATCGGACACACGCTATATATGATAAGAAACTAATAGAATTAAGCTTTGAACAAAAATGTTAACTTCATTCATAGTTCATATTTAATTTGTTGAAAAAATATCTACAAACTTTTCGTGATATTTAAAATCAAATCGAAAAATTTCGAAATTCATACAAACATATGTTACGAGAAACATATATACAGACAGACGGGGTCAAAAAGTTTCGTAGATTCGAGATTAAAAATCGATTTTTCAAATGATTTTTCTTTCTTTTTAAAGAAATTTAAAATTATTGAAAAAAAAAAAGAAAGTAATTGGTTTTCAATTAAATAAAATATAAATTAATTTTAGTTTATTTAATAAAAAAAAAAAAAAAAAAAAAAATCAAACAAATCTTAAATAAAATCATCAACAAATTTTCGCTCCCTATTCTTCGTATATATATATATATTATATATTTATATATATATATATATATATATATATATATATATGCATATATACAATATATGTATAGGAAACAACGAAATTTCAGTCGTATTAAAACTTGGCAAAGTTCCACAAGAGAAAACTATTAGCACTGTAGTTATATATATATACACATACATACATACATACATAAATATATACACACATCAACACATACATACGTATATATAAGCATGATATATATATATATAAATATGCACATACACACACATAACTATTATTGATCGTTTAATACGATTTTAGACGATATAACAAAGTTATTATTATTTCTCTTTTCATTTTTTCTATTCTGTTTTTCTTTTTTCGTTTCTTTTTTTTTTTTCTTTTTCTTCTTTAGATGTCGAAACTAATCAACTCGAAGCTCGGTTAACATTTTAACGCTTTAACTCTGGAAACATGATCGTTTAGTAGAATTTTATTACGTAATGATGAAACGTATAAATAGAAAAATCGAATCAATGAACACAATGCTTTCATTCATTTATGATCGATCATCTATAATTTATTATTATTAAATCTTTTTTTTTTTGTTACTTTTTTTTTCTTCCTTTCTTTTGTAATTTTATACCGTCTACCCCTTTAAACATGGCTTTGTGCGTCTAATGTTCTTGATGGTTTCGTACGTAATTAAAGTTGATTATATCGTTCCCGATCTTATGCGTATATTTATTATTGTATTAGTTAGATTACGATTACGTCGATGATTCCACTTTACCGCGAGTCCGACTCCCTCTCTCTCAGTCAAGACTCGTTTCTATTAACAATTCCATCCTCGTTATGTTCTGTCATTTGAGTTAATCGTTTGTTTTAAATATGCATACTTTTATATATTCACGAACCATTTGTCTCTTTCGTACCTCGTCGAGCATTCCTAACCAACGTTTTTCCATTTTCATTTCGTTTCAAAGAATTTTAATTTGACATCTAATGTTATAGGATAAAATAGTAAACGTTAAAGACATATCCTACGCGTCTCGTAAAAAGAAACTCTTTATTTCTTAAAGATATAAATAAATCATATGTTTAGCCAAAAATTCTCAAATGATATAAAAAAATCAACCATCGCTCCATTTCGAAGACTCTTTGCGCATGCGTAATAGAAGGTTTGCGATATGGAGGTGAGAAGGGGGCAGAGGGGACAGATGGGGGTTGAAGGAAGATAAAAAAGGGTCAGTCCAACGAAAATGATTAATAGAATGTTCAATGTCTTCTCGTAATTTTTTGGCCCAATCAATACGTAAGAGGATAAAAATTTTCAAGAGCATTAAATTTTTCATGTAGGAAGAAAATTAATAAAAACAAAAAAATTAAGAATAATAATAATAATAAATAATAAGTTCGAACGTAATTAAAACGAGAAAAAATAAAAAAAAAATAAAAAAATAAAAAAGAAATAAAAATAAAAACGAAACGAATTCGTCTGAACTTTAATTATCTTGAAAAGATCGTGAGAAAAAAAAACGAATTTCATCTGAAAAAGAGAACAATTGCAAGGAATGTAAGAAGGAAAAAGAAAGAAATTAAAAATTATTATTTAAAATTCGACGACAGAGGGAACATATAAAAGTGAAAATAAAAATCTGAATCAATTAAAAAACTTCTTCGTAAATTAAAAAAGAAAAATGTGAGCATTTTTAAAAAGGAAAAAAAACCAATTAAACAAAATTTCTAACTCCAAAATCATATTAGAGTGAGAGAGAGAGAGAGAGAGAGAGAAAAAAAAAAGGGAAAAAGAACCAAATAAATAAGCGACTATCTCGGTCGAAACTTTTATCATCGCACAATAAGATATAATAGCACGTGCCGAGGAGAAAACAAATTTAATCTTAAAAGGGAATAAAAATGATGAAAAGAAAAAAATAAAAGAAAAAAAAAAATAAGAAAAAGTGCGATTATTAATTCGACTAAAATAAAAACAAATATGGAGAGAGAGAGAGAGAGAGAGAGAGAGAGAGAGAGAGAGAGAGAGAGGAGAGAGAGAGAGAGAGAGAGAGAGAGAGAGAGAGAGAGAGAGAGAGAGAGAAAGAGAAAGTGAGAAAGGAAAAGATAAAGAGGGCATAGGATAAAAAAGAAAAAAAAAACAAGAGAAAGAGTGAGGAAGGAAGGGAAGGAAAAAATGAAAGAAAGAAAAGTAAACAGAATGAAACAAAAGAAAACAAAAGAAAATAAAAGGAGATGGATGAACGGAGGGAGGTTAATATCGCATGCGCATGCGCAAAAGTCGAATGTAACAAAGTTGCCCGCGCGTCGTTCGAAACAATTTTAAAAGTTGTACTAAGTCAGTCACGTACCTGCCGGTGTCCGGAGCGCGGCTCTTCAACTCGTAATACATAAAATCTTTCGTAGTGGTCGAGAGTAGGGATAATGCCTGTTCGAAATCGTCCTCACCAAATCCGTGTTGATCATTCGTTGTGTCGATATCGGTAAGGGCGGCGAGATCGAATCCCATGTCGATTCCAGATTCGTCCATTCTAACAGAAGGAGAGATCGAAAAAGGAAAGAAGAAGAAAAGAAGAAAGAAAAACGGATGGTACAGGGTGGGGAGAAGGAAATGGGGTCAGAGAGGAGGACGACGTTGGTGCACGATGGGGATGGAGGAGGGGGGAGGGTAAGATTCTCGGTTTTTCTTCCTTTTCTTTGTTTCTTTCTTTCTTTTTGTTTCTCTTTTTTCTTTTCCTTTTTGTTTCTCCTTCCCCTCCCCCCCACTTTACTTTACAAAGCTCGTTTTCTCGTAGATACACTTTCTTTCTTCGTAAACAAGGTTATAACTCGATATATCTCTTTCTCTCTCTCTCTCTCTCTCTCTCTCTCTCTTTAACACGCGGCGTTTCCTCCTTTCGAAAATGATCATTCCATCTCTCTCTTCATCTTCTTACTTTTTTTTTCTGTCTGTCTCTCTCTCTCTCTCTCTCTCTCTCTGCCTCCCTCTCCCACTCTCGCTCTTCAATTTTGTATATTATCCTCCTCTGTCGCACATCAACAACATGGCGTCGATTTTGTCTTTTGTTTTCTTTTCTTTTCTTTTCCTCTTCTTTTCTTTTCTTTTCTTTTCTTTTCTTTTCTTTTCTTTTAACCGAACAACAAAGCGTAATTTAACCTCGAAAAATTCTTTCGAGAAGAGAAAAAAAACAAAACCAAAAAAAGAAAACAAAAAAACGAAAAAACGAAGACGCGTATTAGAACGAAACAAGGAGAAAAATTGGAGGGGAGGAAAAAAATATGAAAAGACAAAAAAAAAAGAATCAAAGGAACACAGGGAAACAGAGAAACCAAAAAAGGGAGGGGGGAATGCGCGCTCGCGCACGCGCGCCCGCGACGAGAGAACGGAAGGAAAAAAAATGGAAAAGAAAAAACAAAAAGAAAAAAGAATAGGGGGAAAAAATAAATTAAGAAAAAAACAAAAGAAAAGAAAAGTTAAAGATTATTGGCCGCAGCTGCCGGCGGACGACTCCCAGTCCCGCGGGATGTCGCGAATCGCGATCACTGAGCGCGCGCGTGTGCGCGCTGCCAGCGCGCACTGTGCGAACCGACCGCTCTCGCTCGTCCGCTCGCGCGCGCGCGCCTCGTCGAACTATACGCTGTGACGAGAGGCAAGCGAGTGAGAGAGATAAAATGAAAAAGAGAAAGAGAGAAAAAGTGAAAGAGAGAGAGAGATTGAGAGAGAGAGAGAGAGAAAAGGAGGAGAGTAATAAGAGTGGGGGTAACGATACCAGTGGCGGGCGGAAGATAGACCGCGAATACATGGGTACGAGAGAGAGAGAGAGAGAGAGAGAGAGAGAAATATCTTTGCGTTTTATTATACTCGAGACATAGTTACTGCTAAGAATTGAAGATGCAATGAGTATACAATGAGAATAAATTTAACTGAGAATCATTTAAAAATTATTAAATTAATAAGAAGAATATTTTTGTGATATATAATTTGAATGAGAGAGATAGAGAGAGAGAGAGAGAGAGAGAGAGAGAAAGTGGGGAAATAGTCTTTTAACTTTCTTATGAGTATTATTACATAAATAATAATGATTCGACGAGTCTATATTTATCATTTTTCAAATTACTGAATTAATAACAATACAAAAAAAAAGTTGTACAATAATAATTCAAGAATAGTATTTTAATATACTCAACGAGTACGTCAAAGAACGAAGATGCAACGAACGTATAGTATTCAAATATAGATAAGATAAAGTATCGTTTGAAATGTTATAAAATTAACGATAATCATACTCGAAGTAATAGACTTGAATTGAAACGAGAAAAAGAGAGAGAGAGAGAGAGAGAGAGAGAGACAGAAAAAGAAAAGAAGAAAAAGATAAAAAACGATAAATAATATATATATATATATATATATATATATATGTATATATATATATTAAAGATCTCGTTAAACTTCAAGAATTTTTGCACGAACGAGCATCGACGAGGATCCGTTCGATCCTATCGGGAAGCGCGTCGAATCAACGATGATCGAGAGCCCCATCACCTCGGATTTTATCCTCGATCACACGTAGCGAACTCTACCGACTTATGCCGACGTAATATAGAAACGTGCCGGTTAAACCATCTCGAAATAGAAAGAAAGAAAATATTAAACGCGCGTATGCGTGCGTTTATTAGGGAACTATGATCAGCGGCCGAAACACGCCATCTCGAATGATTACTACGCGTATCGCGGAGGAATAATGCGCATGCGCAAACGCAAGTGCTTTGGTCTCCGATCGTCATCATTAGCACCATCTCCCGGCGCTTGTGTGTACCACGCTCGTTCATCTCTCTCTCTCTCTCTCTCTCTCTCTCTCTCTCTCTCTCTCTCTCTCTCTCTCACCCCCTCTTTCTCTTCCTCTCTATCGCTCGTTTTAGAATATCTTGATGTTTTTCTTATTAAACATTACCGGGAAATTTAAAAATAATAAATTTATTGTTAACACTGACGTACGACTATTGTTTAAAATGAACAAAGTAATTAAAAATTATTATTTGTTCTTTCTTTAATTAAAACGATCGGTACGTACATAAATGTAATTATGATATACGTTCGATAACAACAAGATTGAGCCGTTCCTGTGAGATTTTCGTTCAAATAAATTATTTGTATTATTGTACAATTTTATATTATGTATGAATGAGTGAGTGAGAGAGAGGAAAAGAAAAAGAAAGAGAGAGAAGAGAGAGAGAGAGAGAGAGAGAGAGAGAGAGAGAGAGAGAGAGAGAATTTAATTATAAGTATATTCGACATTCAATAATAAGATTGAAGATTTGATAAAATATTATTGTTTAAATAAATTATTAATATTATATCTTCTTCCACAATTACGTAATATATTGTTTATATTTTATCAATGAATAAAAACAACTGTTGAACATAAAAAATGTTACAAATTTACTAATAAATTTCTTTGAACTTTTCATAATCTCTTCGACCGTTCGATTTTCATTAACTATATAAGGAAAAAGAAAAAGCAAGAAAGAAAAATTAGCAGAAAAAAAAAAGAAAAAGAAACAATTTCCAGGTAATATTCTATTTCGGCTGAAACGCGTCTTTTTTTTTTTTTTTTTTTAAATATATAAAAAAATGTCCAAAATGTGCAATTAAAAATATTGAAATTTTGTGCCGAGAAAATTCGTATGAATATATGTATTTCGAACAACGACGAATCCTTATCGTAAAACTACCTGACAGATAACGATAATGAATGCAAGAAATATGAAAAACAATTTTATTTACCCTACGACGTTTCTTACGAGATTAATGGATATTAAAAAAAAAAAAAAAAAAAGTTAAAAAATAAAAGGAAAAAAAAAACGAAGGAAAAAAGAAGAAATAGAAATTTATGAAACGCGATCGATGAAACAAAAATTTTTGTATCGTTAACGACGACGTATTTACGAAACGAAACAATTCCTCGCTTCTGTAATTTCACATACATTCGTGCATGTGTACGTTTTGTTGATAATACGCAAGTACAATATTGAAACTAACAAAAAGAAACGCGCATCATTTCTCGGAAAAATAAAAATGAAAAAAAAAAAGGAAAAGAAAAAAAAAATAATACGATGCACTTTTGGATGCTAAAAGCAGCAATGCAATGTTTTTCTTTCAATTTGTTTTCCTTTATCTCTCATCTTCATAATCTTGCAAACGTCTCTTACAAACTATAACACTATAGCAACACAACATTTATGTATATATACATATATGTGTGTGTGTCTGTATTTGTAGAAGCAATTTGTAGAAGAAAATGTAAGATTAATAATAATAAAAAAAAAAAAAAAAAAAAAAAAAAATAAAAAAGAATAAAAAAAACAAGAAATAAAGTATAAAATTAATATGAATAAATAAATACTGATACGTATAAACTAGTAAATTCATGATATACTATAATATATTCATAATATATAATAATTAATACATTCATGACATACTAAAAACTTTCTCATGTTTACTAACACTTTTATATAGGTATATGTATGTATGTATAGATATATATATATATATATGTATACGTAAATATGTAATAAATTTACGATAAATTTATTACGGACTATATTCGATGGCGTAATTTTACAAATTTTGCTGACACGCATCAAGATACTTGACTCTTGAAATCGTAAAAACATATTGAAAAAAAATGAGATCAAAGTTGGTTTTAAGAATTCAGTTCGTCTTTTACAACGCTCCAACGATGATGAATCGTTTTCGATCGATCTTTTGTTTCACATTTTTCATATTAATTTTATTAAGAGTGAAAGGAGGATACCAGATGTTTAATAAAAACAAACATTTACCACCGAAGATATCCAGTAAACTCGACGACTATTGGCGGGCTTACAAGGTAACGTTCTTAATGCAATAATATAATCTACAAAAAAAAAAGAAAAAAAAAAAAAAAAATAAAGTGAAGAAATAAAAAAATATTAATTTTTTTTTTTTTTTATCGAACAAATACATCACATAAACATTTTAATTAATAAAATAAAACAAAACTGAGAGATTCTTATAATGCAAAAATTGTGAATTGATATTGGTATGACGTTAGAGATTCAAGAAATAAATAAAAAAAAAAAAAAAAAAAAAAAAAAAAAACAAGATAAATAAATAAATAAAATGGGAGAAGAATTCTAACGCTTAAGACTTGAAATATTCATAAAATACTATCGATTATCCATATACGAAGTAAATTTGTATTAATAGAAAAATATCAACAAAAAAATAATACCATTGGATAAATCGAATGATATGATGTTTTGATATTTTAATAAAAAAGATAACAAAAGAAAAAAAATGCAAAATTCCAATGTAAAACTTGTTAATTATATATTAGCGTTAATATTATGTTGGTATATTATCGCGCAAAAAAAACCCACGTATTAACTCGATAACAAACTTGGACATAAGGAATTTATTTATATATATAAAAAAAAAAAAACAAAAAAAAAAAAAGAAGAAAAATTAATGGAGCATCATTCGTCCCCGACAAAACTACAGGCACAATTCAACAAGACTTACAGCGGAAATCTCGACAATACGAGACGCATCAAGTGGGAGCAAAATCTCGTGAAAATTTACGAACACAATTTAATGGCCGCAGCGGGACACCATGGTTACACGTTACGAGACAACCATATAGCAGATCTAAGCACTCAACAATACGTTCGAAAAATGGTTGGTATGAATTTCCAATAGTAATCTTCAAATAAATGAAATATCATACATAAATGAAAGTCTTCGATTATTCTTTAAAAAAAAAAAAAAAAAAAAAAAAAAAGAAAAAAAAAATTATGGAATTGGTATACATAAATTATGCATTTTATATATTAATAATTTATATATTAATATAGTAATTATAATTACATATATTAATATATAAATTATATATGTGAACAAATATATATTATATATATATTTATATATTAATACAATAATTAAATTATTAATATTATTATTATTAAAATAATTACGATATTATATATACATATATACATATATTATCGTATGTCTGTATATATGTATTTATATATAATACTGAAAGAGACATATTGGATGTTTCGTCGTTCATAATATTATAAAACTTCTTACGATCGTGTACGGTTTGTTATCATGTACAACGGGCTCTATAAATTATTCATAGAGTAAAGAACTAAACCGAGATAGCTTATTTAGAAAGCATCCATAAATTTGGTGCTTCGTGTTATTACACCTTTCTCACATTCGTTGTAATGGAAACATAGAGTTGAGAGCGAACGTAAGACGATCTATCTACCGATCGAACTATATACATACATACATATATACATATATACATACATACACACATACATGCATATATACATACATGCATATTTATTTACTCCTGTTAAAGATGCCATATATATATTGTAGATCTTCGATTACAAGATAGATTGTTTAAGATTCGCTTAAATCTTATATTCGGTTATATATATATATATATATATATATATATATATATATATATATATATACATATTTATGTATACCAACACATATAACAATTTATATGAATAAATGTTGTAACAAGTGTATAGTTAAAATTATTGAAAATATTCAAATTAATATGTATTGATTTTCTTATATTATTTATAGAAGCAATTAATTCATCTTTCAATATCTTTTTCTATTTTCAAATTTCTTTTTTCTTTTTTCTTCGTTATTTTTGTTTTAAATTTAAATAATTTCTATGATTATTGAAAAAAAAATTAAAAAACATTATACGATCATACGTGTATTCTTCGATTGAAAATCGATCTTTTTTTTTTATAATCTGAATTAATTACTATTAAAATAATTATAATCAAATTTTTGCCGTAACAATCATTATTATGATTATTATTATATATTTATTATTTTTATTTACTAAATCAACTAAATCAGATAGTAGTCGAATTTTTTAATGACAAAATTAATATAATAATTTAATAATTAATACAACATTTATTTATTTAATATATATATATATATATATATATATATATATATGTTTATATTTTCTTGTATTAAAAAAAATTATTTATCTTATAAATCTAACTATAATTTCTATAGAGCATTGAATCATTAACTTTTTATTACTATAGATCTATAATCTATTTCTTTGTAACATCTGCAAAATCAATCTATCCTATAGATCCACGATCAATATATCTATAACCTCTATCTATAATCTTTATAAATTATTTTCACAGATCTATGATCTATTAATCTACAATATTTATAGACTCATCTTTTTATAATCACTATAAATCTATTCTATATACATCGATAATCAATCTAGATCTATCCTATAGATTCATGATCTATCTGCCTACAATCTCTATAGATCTATCATCTATCCTATAATCATAACAAATCTATGATCTGTTTATAAATAATCCTACTATTGTTTATTTATCATATCTATGATATCATCATCTATATTCCCTATAGATCTATCATTTAGTCTACAATCATTATAAATATATGATCTATCTATCTTCTCTATATTCTTTCTCTCTCTCTCTCTCTCTCTCTCTCTCTATATATATATATATATGTATATATATATATATAAATATATATATATATATATATATATTTATATTATATATATATATATATATTTATATTATATATATATATATATATATATATATATATATATATATATTTATATTCATCATCTATCCAATAATTACGATTCATAGACCGATCAATGATCTATTCATTAATAATCCTTATAAACTAATAAATCATTTATCCATTTGATATGTCACAATAATAAAAATTAAAACTTAACGATATATTAAAATAGAAATGTTTAAATTTAAATCTTGTTTGTTTTTTTTTTTTGTTTCTTTTTTCTTTCTTCCTTCTTCTTCTATGCAAAATACGATCTAAGATAAAACTAATGCCAAGTAGAAGGCGTCGTTTGCCCGACGACGAGATGGTCTCTTTGGCCTTGCAAGATCCTAAACTCGTACCGTCTCATTTGGATTGGCGTGAACTAGGCTTTGTGACGAAGCCAGTGAATCAAATGAAATGTGGAAGCTGTTATGCATATTCAATAGCTGGCACGATAGAGGCCCAGTTATTTAAACAGACTGGCAAGCTAATACCATTGAGTGAACAGCAATTGGTTGATTGCAGTACGATAACTGGGAATATTGGTTGCAATGGTGGTTCCCTCAGGAATACCCTGAGATACCTTGAGAAATCGAAAGGACTCATGCCGCAAAACATGTATCCTTACAAAGGGAAAGTATGTAATATTATTCCAATCGATATTATCATTATCAATTTGTATAATTGATTTGTCTTTTTTTCCTTCTGTCATTACTTTTATTTATTTATTTTTCTACTTTTTTCTTTTTATTCTTTTTTTTTTCTTTTTGTTTCTTTTTCCTTACATTTCTTTTCTTCTGTTTCATTGTGTTTTTCTTTTTTTTTTTAATTCTTCTTCTTTTTGACATTTAAAAAAGAAAAAACAATTCAGAAAAATTATTATGGAATTATTATTATTATTATTGTTATTATTATAATTATTATATTTTTTCTTTTTATAAGAATTCATAATTTCATTTATTTTATATATATATATATACATATATAAAATATATAATATATATAATATATATAATATATATAATATATATAATAATGTATATGTTATAATGCATGTTATATATATGTTTATATGTATAATAATAATATGTTTATATAAATAGATGTGCATAATAATAATATGCTAATATATAAATAGATATTTATAATAATAATGAAAATTAATATACATATAAATAATGTTAGCGAAAAGCTTGACATTTTTTTGTTTTTTTTTATTTATATATATTTTTTTTTCCTCCGCATAAAATTTATCTTGAAAGCGGATTTGAAAGTTTATCAAAATTGTTGAATGAAATGTATGTTATGATTAATCCTTTCACTCGTATATATGCATAGATTACAGTGATCTCTCAAGCGTGTGCATGATGCAACTGTAGATTTTTATTTTAAATTATTCTCTCTCTCTCTCTCTCTCTCTCTCTCTCTCTCTCTCTCTCTCTCTCTCTCTCTCTCTCTCTCTCTCTCTCTCTCTCTCTCTCTTCGTTGCAATGAAACTGGTTGTATATTTTCGTTCGAATTTCTTGAAATTTTATGCAATGGCCAGTTTATTTTTGCAATAATATATGTTTTCTCTGCTTTTTCTTTCTTTATCTTTTTCTTTTTCCTTTGTTTTTTTTTTCTTTTTCTTCATTATCGGTCACGCATGAATACGAAATGTCCAATTCAACAACATATATGTGCATGTACAAGCAAAAATAATATTTATATTTCCGTTGACAATTATCTCATTTGATTGAATTTATTTAAGAATATTCTGTTATGCTTGTGTTGAGTTCTGATGTTTCGATGATGTAATCGAAAACTCGTCTGACATATGACGGAATTTAATTTAATATCTTTGAAATGTTATTAAACTTATTAAAATAGTATTTCAAAACGTTTCTTATTTTCTTCTTCTTCTTCTCCTTCTTTTTTTTTTCTTTTTTTTTTTTTTTTTTTTTTATTTATTCTTGTATACGTCATTTTTGTATTTTTGTATACGTCATATAAAAATAAAAATATGAACAATTTCGATGAATTTATATTTTCAAAAAAAAAAAAAAAAAAAAAAGAAAAAAAACGTTCGTGGAAGCAATATCAATAAATTTCGATGTGTATTAAATGGGAGAAAAAAAGGACAAAAATTTATTTAAAAATTAAGTAATAAAAATTATTTGTTGTTGCTGTTGTTATTGTTGTTGTTGTTGTTGTTGTTGTTGTTGTTATAATGTTAAGAATTTTTCAAACGAACAGATATTATTTAATTAATGTTACTAATGAAAATCTCTTTTTATGATTATTAGCAAGGTCAATGTAATTTCATAAAGGATCACAGTGTCGTTAATATAACTTCATGGGCAGTTTTACCAGCACGTGATGAAAAAGCATTGGAAGTAGCTATTGCGACAATTGGTCCTGTAGCGGCATCAATAAATGCGAACCCGAAGACCTTCCAGCTCTATCAGTGAGTAAATGTATTTTCAAAATTATTTTTCTTTCGGATGGAAACTCTTTGAGTGGACTAAATATTTTCTTTATTTATATGTGTATATATATTATATGTACATGTATTTATAAAATATATATGTATATATAAATAGTATATGTATATATTACATATATATGTATATATAAAATAATACGTACGTATTTTTAATTTTCAAGAAAAAAAAAAGAATGTAAACTCACTTCTTATATATATACATATATAATAAAAATAAATAACCATTCGATATATGCACGTATTATTATTAATTAATTATTATTAAAATATAATTATAATAATAAAAGAAAATATTATTGATAATAACGAAAATATTCAATTTTAATTACAATACTATTATAATTATTGATAATAATATTAATTATTATTATATACATACGATATATTTACATACGATATGTCACAATTTTTATACGTATTGATTTATTATATAAAATAATAATAATATTGTGTGTGTTTGTGTGTATGTATATGTGTTGACATTATATTTAGATATAATAAACCATATAAAACAAACAAAATTATTTTGTTTAAAAATTATTATTTTGATTATATATAATTTATTATATTGCATATAAATATATATTTATATATATAAATATAAAATAAAAGCCGTATAAAAAAGAAAGAAAATTTCCATTATTCGGATAAGTCTAAAGATAATTCGTAATGAATGCAATATGATATTTACATACATGAATGACATATCGCCTAATTTTTTTGACAAATATTCTTTAATATTTTTCATATGACATATATTTTTTTACGACATGTATAAATATAATAAATCATAAACAAAAAAATTTCCATTATTTGAATAATAAAAAAATAAGGTCTACCATTATATTTGGATTATATAGGTATATCATATTTTACATATAATATATCATATAATTATTTGTTCATATCGTACGATATATTTTTATGTAGTTATATATATATATATATATATATATATATATATATATACATATATGTATATACGATGTTTGTATGTATACGTGTATATATTAAATTATATAAAAATAAAAAAACAATATGTCTAATGTAATATTTGCATAGTAATAATATGCGCTTGGAAAAACAAGTTTTTACATACAAAATATTTACGCATACACGCACACACATATACACAAATATATTAAATTTTTCATTTCATTATACTTAAATCCAGATAAAACTGATAATATTATCAACCTCGATTCATTAACCCTGGACTAATGATGATGATAATAATAATAATAATAATAATAATAATAATAATAATAATAAAAAGAAAATTTCCCAATTACAACAAACCACAATACAATTTCAACGTTGGTGGTCGATTTCATCATATTTTTAAGTCAATTAACTTTAACATATTATATGTCGCAATGATTTTTTTTTCTTTTTTTCTTTAAAAAAGCGTGGCCTTTATCGGGTTAAAACGTATACATTGTATTTAACAATATTTTCATATAAGACAGAAATATTATTGAGACTTACGCAATCATTTTCATCCATTTTATTCTTTTTAAGAAAGTGATGGCATCCTTGAAAAAAAAAAAGAGAGAGAGAGAGAGAGAGAGAAAAAAACAAAAGAAAAAGAAAAACAAAAAATAAAAGAAAAGAAAAGAAATAAGTACTGCGAATTTTATCGATGAGTTTGCTGAATTTGTAAGTCATCGAACTCATATCATTTTAAAGAATAAAACATGTAATGATTGTTGCATTTTTATTTTCTCGAACGTATGCATGCACAACTATATATACATAAATATATATATAATAAATAATATATAATATATAATTATTATATCATAAAATTATATTAATTTTCTTATATCATATGTTAGATATATATATATATATATATATATATATATTTAAAAATTATAAATACAAGTGTGTGTGTGTGTGTGTGTGTGTGTACATTTCTAGCTTAATAAAATCACGATTTTCATTACAATATAAAAACAATAAAAATTGAATATCTTTAATAAAAATATCCCATAATAATATATTTCAATTTCATTAAAAAAAATTATTACTACTATTATTATTATTATTATCATTATTATTATTATTATTATTATTATTATTATTATTAATTATGTTTATATATATATATATATATAACTTGAATTTTAAATTGAAATAAAAATGAATTTACAGTCAAGGTGTTTACGATGACGTTGCATGTACCTCCGACATAGTAAATCATGCCATACTAATCATTGGATATACACCAACCGAATGGATTTTGAAGAATTGGTGGGGTGAACATTGGGGCGAGGGTGGTTACATGCGATTGGCAAGACATAAAAATCGTTGCGGTATTGCAAATTATGCGGCTTATGCAAAAATTTAATAACACCTACAATTGTAAAAAACATCTACTTATTACCTATCTTTAATATCAATTAAAAGATTCCATTTTTCTTCTTCTTCTTCTTCTTCTTTTTTTTCCATTTTCTTTTTCTTTTCTTTTCTTTTTTAATATATATTTAACGATACAACTGAGAAATTTATCATTATCAATATATCACGTGATAAAACGTTTAAATATTTTGAACGATCTAATCGTGCAACATGTGTATTATATTTGTTTAGTAAACAAAGTGAGGAACTTAAGAGGGAATAAACTAATGATATATTAAATTATGTGTTTTATGCAATAAAAATGAGGAATTTCTAGAAATAATAAATAA